GCTCCACATATCTTCTGTATTCCACCATCATATCGTTGACACCTAATTTTGCTCCTTTGCACAAGCACTAACCAACCAAGGGATCTTAGCTTTGTCACTGATGAAGGGAAAAAAGTGTGCACACACATATACACTTACACTTACACACAACACATATCAAAGTGTCTCTAAGCCTTCAACAGCATTCCCATTGTATCAAAACTGTGATACACCTTGAACTAACCCCTCTCAGTTTACGCCACATTAACATCGCAACACATTTTTCTTTCGCTAACGCAACTTATCCTGGAACTCATCGGTGGTGTGCCCTAGAGGGGACAAACATCCTAGACGTAAAGATTGGTCCACTCTCTAAAATGAGCGATGGGGTAGATACAGTGACCAGGGCAACCCTGTAGTGCACCTGGTGACCATAGGGAGGTTTTAGCATCATCCCTCTGAGTGTCCCAACGAACTCTTTAGCTACACCACTCCCCCATCCCCTCAGAGAGCCAATGACAATGGCAGGAAACAAACATAGGCTACTGGACCGCTTGAGCAACTACAATAATAATCATTAAAAAAAAAAAGAAAAAAAAAACCTTTCCTATGGAACAGTAAGTGCAATGTGCTTCGTTTTTATATTGACTGAGAACAAAAGATATATATATTTTTTAAAAAAGAAATTAAACGTCACACTGAAATGGTTTGCAGAATAGTGAAAGGATCAAATGTAACGAACAACAACAAAATGAAAAAAAAGTGTTAACTAACAGATTCATTAGAAGAATCAAACAAGCACGAAGAGCTCTGGTCTCTAAAAATGTCCATTATCCCTTCCTCCACCCCCTTATTAGTGCTCTGACCATGCAAGCTAAAACAAACAGCCATCTATGGTACCGAAAAGAGCAAATCTAAAAGACCGTGAATGGAATACTGTCTAAAATATCATCGGTTTTAGCCCATGTTGATTTCAGAGTATTTTTTCCTGTAATTTATTGATTTTCTTTACATATCAGAATCACACGTTAACTTAGTGTATTTGTGTTGTTGATGTTGCCATAGAAGACACACGTGGGTCGAATATTTCGTTTCAGTTCCTTTTGTTGTGTATGGTTTCTTATATTTGTTTCCATTATTTATAATTAGTTGCTGTTCTTACAGTGTATGCAGGTTTTAGAATTAGTTAGAATTATTTCTTTTCAATCAAAATGTGTTTAATTGTGTTTGTAAAAGTCTGTGGTAGCTTTTGTTGCAACATAAATAATTTAAACTGAAAAAAAAAATCAATATAGCGCCAATGAACTTGTATTATTTGGGCGACTTTAAGCTTGTAGTTTTAACTTATTGTTAACTTAAAAACTATTTATTATCATTATTATGATTATTATTATTGCCTCGTATGAAAGTATGTTTTGTGTATATTTATGGTTTATTTCATTATATTTGCAAGTTTAAATGCATTTCATTTTGCCAAAATGTGGTTACACCTTTTTGTTTTTCTTTAAAGGGAACAAATAGAT